CAACCCCCCCCCATAATCCCCCCTCCACCAAACTTTACACTTGGCACAATGCAGTCAGGCAAGTACCGTTCTCCTGGCAACCGCCAAACCCAGACACGTCCATCGGATTGCCAGACAGAGAAGCGTGATTGGTCACTCCAGAGAACACGCCCCCACTTCTCTAGGCGTCCAGTGGCGGCGTGCTTTACACCACGGCATCCCACGCTTTGCATTGCACTCGCTGATGTGCGGCTTGGATGCAGCTGCTCGGCCATGGAAACCCGTTCCATGAAGCTCTCTACGCACTGTTGTTGTGCCAATCTGAAGGCCGCATGGAGTTTGGAGGACTGGTGGTGGTGTTTTTTTTTCTTTTCAGGTAGTTTTCTACATCAGCTATTTTTTTGTTTTCATATCCGTTTTAGTTTTATAGAGATGGATGTTTGTGTCATGTTCATTTTTTCACGGAATGTTTCTGTCTTTTCCAGCCTTTCTTCCGCCTGCTGAATCTGAGGAAATTGGGCCTGAGTGACAATGAGATCCAGCGTCTTCCGCCTGAGGTGGCCAACTTCATGCAGCTGGTGGAGCTCGATATCTCCCGCAATGGTAAGCATGTGAAGGGCCGGAGTTGATCTCTGTGTGCCCCCCTTCAGGGCTCTGCCCCAAGAACATAGCAATTGTGCTAAAGTCAGACATTACTCATTGTAGTAAGATTCCTCGTGTAGGATCCTGTCATTGGCAACCTTCCGCTAATGTTCAAATGTGTGTCTGGCCGTCTCTGCCTCTCGCTCTGGCCCTCTCTGCCTCTCGCTCTGGCCCTCTCTGCCTCCCGCTCTGGCCCTCTCTGCCTCCCGCTCTGGCCCTCTCTGCCTCCCGCTCTGGCCCTCTCTGCCTCCCGCTCTGGCCCTCTCTGCCTCCCGCTCTGGCCCTCTCTGCCTCCCGCTCTGGCCCTCTCTGCCTCCCGCTCTGGCCCTCTCTGCCTCCCGCTCTGGCCCTCTCTGCCTCCCGCTCTGGCCCTCTCTGCCTCCCGCTCTGGCCCTCTCTGCCTCCCGCTCTGGCCCTCTCTGCCTCCCGCTCTGGCCCTCTCTGCCTCCCGCTCTGGCCCTCTCTGCCTCCCGCTCTGGCCCTCTCTGCCTCCCGCTCTGGCCCTCTCTGCCTCCCGCTCTGGCCCTCTCTGCCTCCCGCTCTGGCCCTCTCTGCCTCCCGCTCTGGCCCTCTCTGCCTCCCGCTCTGGCCCTCTCTGCCTCCCGCTCTGGCCCTCTCTGCCTCCCGCTCTGGCCCTCTCTGCCTCCCGCTCTGGCCCTCTCTGCCTCCCGCTCTGGCCCTCTCTGCCTCCCGCTCTGGCCCTCTCTGCCTCCCGCTCTGGCCCTCTCTGCCTCCCGCTCTGGCCCTCTCTGCCTCCCGCTCTGGCCCTCTCTGCCTCCCGCTCTGGCCCTCTCTGCCTCCCGCTCTGGCCCTCTCTGCCTCCCGCTCTGGCCCTCTCTGCCTCCCGCTCTGGCCCTCTCTGCCTCCCGCTCTGGCCCTCTCTGCCTCCCGCTCTGGCCCTCTCTGCCTCCCGCTCTGGCCCTCTCTGCCTCCCGCTCTGGCCCTCTCTGCCTCTCGCTCTGGCCCTCTCTGCTGCCCGCTTGTCTGTCTTGCTGTTTCAGTCCCAGTTCCTCTGACTTGTTTTCCTCACTTTCTGTTTCTCTCTTCCAGACATTCCTGAAATTCCAGAAAGTATCAAGTTCTGCAAGTCATTAGAGATTGCAGATTTCAGCGGAAACCCTCTCTCCAGGTAATGAATGTGCGTGTAATTGGCGTCTGTACGTCACCCTCCATGTATCTGGAATGTAAACTGGCGGTAATAAAGTCTGTCTTAAAGTGTACTGCCACTTTTGCAATCACATTTGAGAAGCTCCCACTGCATGTTTTTGTGTTCCCATTTATAGAGGATATGGAAAAATAATTTTGACAAACATATTTCTCACCTCTTCTTCTTTGGAGGTTTCTTTGGTGCAGAATTATACATAGGACAATGTAGACAAGCTCTAATGCCTAGAATAGATAGCAATGTGCAAAAGTTGAATAAACTAACATTTAAAAATCCCCCTAAATTACAGTCCCGGGCCCCTGCGAACACACGCATTAAAAAAAAAAAAGGCAGACTGTATGGATGACATAACTGGTGGTGCCACACACAGCCGCACAACTTGAAAAAAAAACAAAAAAAAAAGCAGCCTGTTTTCCCTCTAAACCTAGGTGCGTCTTATGGAGCGAAAAATACGGCGCGTGATCGGCCCCATTCGCTAGTGTGAATGGGGTCATAGGGGGAACAGACCTAGGGAGAGTTTTTAATAGTGCATACAGCGGGTGCCATGGGTGCATGGGCATTGGTGGTGGTGTCTCTCCAAAGCCCTTTCCTGGCCCACTTTGGCCCATCCAGAAGTGATTTGGGAGCCCAGGGAATTGAAGCAAAAGTGACATTCTTATTAAACTGTCATTGAGAAATATAATGCAACGCGATAAGTCACGGCAAGGTTCCGGAATATGCCGTCACATCTTAGGATTTCATTCTTCTTGTGCACTCTGCTGCTCTCTAGTCACAAGGTCAGCCCTGGTACTCATCCTCGCCATCCCACAATTCACGAGACCAGCAGCCCGGTTTGGATACAGTCCCTGTGCTCCAGACTCCACACCCTCCTCCTTGTTGTGGTTCTTCTGAGAGGTCACTATCGTCCTGTGCCGGGACACTCCCTGAACTCGGCAAAGTTGAACTCTGCGGCTGCTGCTCTCAGAATTGGAAATATGCTGCCACCTGCTGGTCACTAGTGCGAAACGCGTGAACTCAGCCTGAGCTGCCTCGTGTCAAGTCTGAGGAACAGCCAGCTGCACAGCAACTCTGCAGAATCACCCGACTCTTCTCCCCGTCACAGAGTATGCCCAGAGTTTATTTCCACACCCGCAGCCTTGTACTGTTTTTGTATCGGGGATAGAGATGCAAGGTTGTAATGAGAGCAGGGGTAGACAAAGTCCGCCCCTCCCAGCTGTGATGAAACTACAAATCCCATGGGAGTCATGCCTGTGGGTGTCAGTCTTGCAGTGCCTCATGGTTTGTGGTTGCACCACAGCTGGAGGGCCGGAGTTTTCTTACCCATGAGGGTACATTCTTCAGACCAGGTCCACATTTTATCTTTAAAATGCCGTCTTTGAACTCCAGTCTGTGTCTTTGCCTAGGCAGCCATGCCATCAGTCTGCTGCAGGCAGGAGGAAGCATTTCCTCCGTCCCCCCTCCCCCAGTGATCAGTATGCTGCTGCAGGCAGGAGGAAGCATTTCCTCAGTCTCCCCTCCACCAGTGATCAGTATGCTGCTGCAGGCAGGAGGAAGCATTTCCTCAGTCTCCCCTCCCCCAGTGATCAGTATGCTGCAGGCAGGAGGAAGCATTTCCTCAGTCTCCTCTCCCCCACTGATCAGACAGCAGCATTGTACATTTGTAGGGAGCCGCAAAGTGAAATGCTGCAGCAGGGGCTGATCAATGTCCGACATTTGTGGACACATCCAAGAACTGCACGGGCTCCGGGATTTACATGACTGTGTCATCTGAGTTGGCATCTCAGTCCAGGAAGAAGATGGTTTCACCTCGATGATTGGCGAGCAATGATGGTGCCGTCCTTCTGGAGAGGAATGCAGATGAAGGCATTGTCAGGGGGGAGTGCTGTGCTACACAGACATATTACTTGGCGTGTTGCAGTAAACATGAAATACATGTGATGCTCGGCCTGATGTAACAATGTTCTTTCTTGGCGTGTGTGATTCCAGACCTGATGGTTCTACGCTCCTTTCTAAATATGATTATTTCTTCTGCAGACTGCCGGACGGATTTACGCAGCTCCGCAGCCTGGCCCACCTGGCGCTCAATGACGTTTCCTTACAGGCGCTGCCCAATGACTTTGGCAAGTGAGTGTCATTTCCTACCGATGTCCCACCAATGTGGAATAATACAGCAGCCAATCAGAAACTGATTTTTTTTATTTTTTTATTATTAAAACCTTTTGAGTTTACACTGATAAAGTGATTACAAACTCTCTGCTCATTGACCTCCAACATATTCTATCCTATAATAATCTCAGATGATATATTCTACATACAACACACAATGCTCGGCTCTGTCACAATGATCACACGGGTTCATCTGTTTATTATTTTTTTCTGTTTGTAGTTTAGCAAATTTGGTCACGTTGGAATTACGGGAGAACCTACTGAAGTCTGTGCCATCGTGAGTATATACAGCGAGCTAAATATTTGTTTATAAGAAACACAGAACACCTCCAACCCCAACATTTGGGGGGGGGGGGGGGGAGCCTTTTCCAACCAATGTAAGGGAAGGCCTTCTCCACTGACCACCAATGTAAGGGGAGGACCTTCTCCACTGACCACCAATGTAAGGGGAAGACCTTCTCCACTGACCACCAATGTAAGGGGAGGACCTTCTCCACGGACCGCCAATATATGGAGGGGCCCTCTCCACGGACCTCCAATATATGGGGGGAACCCGCCAATATATGGGGGGGACCTTCTCCACTGACCACCAATATATGGGGGGACCTTCTCCACTGACCACCAATATATGGGGGGACCTTCTCCACGGACCGCCAATATATGGGGGGACCTTCTCCACTGGCCACCAATGTATGGGGGGACCTTCTCCACTGACCACCAATGTACGGGGATGACCTTCTCCACTGACCACCAATGTAAGGGGATGACCTTCTCCACTGACCACCAATGTAAGGGGGAAACCTTCTCCACTGATCATCAATGTAAGGGGAGGACCTTCTCCACGGACCGCCAATATATGGGGGGACCCTCTCCACGGACCTCCAATATATGGGGGGACCCTCTCCACTGACTGCCAATATATGGGGGGACCTTCTCCACTGATTGCCAATATATGGGGGGACCTTCTCCACTGACCGCCAATATATGGGGGGACCTTCTCCACTGACTGCCAATATATGGGGGGACCTTCTCCACTGACCGCCAGTGTTAGGGGGTCACTAAGTGTTGTCAGCCCTGCCTGCTAAACTGTAGAACTCTGCCTATCTCCGCAAATCTCTGTTCTTCTCCATATGTGTTGATTTCTTCCCCAGCAAAACAGTGCTGTTGCCATGACTCCCATGATCCTATCCCCACACTGTGTAGGTAAAGCGTTCTGAGAGCATGTCTTCTCAAAAGGAACTGAGCTCCCAGGGACTTGCCCCTACATGATTATGTCACAGGGATTATTAAAAACTTCTCTCTACAGGGATAAGGTTAAAAAAAAATGCTGGGACTGGATCTAGAGAAGAGGGTGAGATTTGGGGAGTAAATTTGGGTAATGTCTGGACAAACCCTTTAAGGTAACCTCCATTCATTAGATGGCAGCCAACCATGAACGTACCCTCTGGCCAGATGACAAATGTTAGACAAACGTAAGAGGGGGAGCGCTACAGGTGGCCTTGTCCAGGTCACGGCATAGCTAATAGTAACTTGTCACATTCAACTGGACATGTTTTGTAATATTAAAGCTTCTCCAAGCCACGTTTTCAGTTCCAATGAGTGTCGGGGACATACCCCAGCGTTTATATCCACACAGGTAGCACTGACGCCTCAGTTCAATCACCATGGAATGGGTCAGGGTAGGTGCTGATTGTCCAGGAACAGGTTAGGAGATGTGAAAGTTGTGGACCCCCCACCACTCCAATCCTTGGAATGAAAGGGTTTCTAAACCCTCCGTTTTTTTTGCATATATATAAGGCTGGCGAGCTGTAGATATATGCAAAAAGTTTTAAAAAAAATAAAAAATTATAAAATAAACTTACCTTGCATTCGCCGCGCACTCCCGCCCGAGAATCCGAAACT